ATCCAGGCAAACTTAAACAATACTGTACACATTAATACATGTGGTGCTGCACAGAAAAGCCCTTTGTGCTTGTTTGCATTGAGGTGAAAATCAGCTAAACTGGTGGATGCTGGAGGTTGCTCTTGTAATTAGCAGCTTTTTGTTGCCTTTATGTTTGTATTATTGAGAACACATTTCCACCCGTAAGGAAAACATCTTTGCCATGTAAGTAAATATTGTTAGTATGCATTCAGAGTGCTGTAGGAATGAAATCCTTTATGTTTCTTCATCTCTTTGCCCATTTTTTCCTCAAAGGTACAATTCATCACAGAATCAAAAGTACCTTTTTTTTTTTTTTTTTTTTTTTTAATATATACTTTATTAATCCCCCTGAGGGGAAATTCAATTTATCACTCTGTTGTCAATTACACATAGGTCCGAACACACACATGCACAAACTGGACCTATACATGCACTAAGTGGAGAGATGTCAGAGTGGGCTGCCCATGACAGGCGCTCTGAGCGGTTGGGGGGTTTGGTGCCTTGCTCAGGGGCACCTCGGCAGTGCCCAGGAGGTGAACCGGCACCTCTCCAGCTACCAGTCCACGCGCCATATTTTTGGTCCGGACGTGAATATATATATATATATATATATATATATATATATATATATATATATACACATATTTTTCCTTTTAGCTGTGATGCTATTTATCAGTCTAGATTGTTTTGGTGTGAGTATCAGTGTGTTGGAGATATCAGCTGTAGCGATATCTGTCTTCTCTCCAATATAATGGAACTATATGGCACTCAGCTTGTGGTGCTCAAAGTACGAAATAAATACATTTAAAAAAAAATCAACAGCAGTGTATCTTTCTAGAAATTATGACGCAGTTACTCAAATCTTTTGTATTCATTTTGTGTCTTCTTATGGTTGTTTTGAGTCTCTTTGTGGTTGTTTTGCTCATCCTATTTTGTACTTATTTTGTGTATTCTTACGGTTGCTTTGACTGTCTTTGTGGTTGTTTTGCCCATTTTTGTAGTCATTTTATGTCTTCTTATGGTTGTTTGAGTCTCTTTGTAGTGATTTTGTGTCTTCTTACTGTTGTTTTGAGTCTCTTTGTGGTTGCTTTGCCCATTTTTTTTGTTATTTTGTGTCTTTTTGCAGTTCCTTTTCATCTCTTAGTGGTCTCTTTGTGTCTCTTTGTGGTCATTTTGAGTTTATAACATGTTAATTTTGGATGAGATTTTGCAGGTGAAGGCAAGGGGCCCCAAAGGCTTTTTGGGTTTAGGGGGGGTCTGGTGTTAATTTTAGACCCAAGTAGCAAGGTCATGATTTCTGGAAAGAGACACTGCTGTTAAATGTTTCTGGTATATTGTGTATTTAGGTGAGTGCCATCTAGTTCTATTATACTGGGGAAAAGGCAGACATCTCTATCCCTCTTCAACTCACATCAAAACATCTAGATAGATAAATAGCACTCCAGGTAAGAGAAAAATACTTGATTTTGGGGTGGACTGTCCCTTTTAAAAGAAATGATGAAGACCCAGAAGATCATTGGTTTTGCTCCAAATATATAGGCTCAGCTGTTGGCAGGGGGATGCACCACTTTATGCCTCTGTACGGCTGGATTTACAGCCGCTATTACTCTTGACAGGGATAGCCTCCCTGTTGTGTAAAGAGCCGCTCAGCATAGTAGCCATGAATTTATGGCCACAGTGAGGGGCAGAACTGGTTTTAATGGTGACTCGGGTTTAATATTCTCTCTCACCCAGTTGCAATCTGCTTTTGTGACAGAATCCCTGCCAAGGAGCAGTTAACTGTAATGGAATATGATTGTTCCTTGGTTGCATTCGAGACAGTTTGGTCACAGTATAAATGGCAGTGTTCTTCCGACTTGTTTTGACATTTTTCTTAGGAGTTTGATTTTATTTTCTAGCTTTAAATCATGGTTCACATGTTGATAAGCAAAAAAAGACATCTTGAGGATTTTTCAGTCAGTATTCCTTCCCTCCACTAGATGTCCTCATAATGCTTGTGTGTGGGAAGCACTTCTCTGTAGGCTAACGCTGAATATTGACACCATGATTGGTGCATTACATGGAGAGGAGGACTTAAAGACGAGCCCTCGAGTCAGAAGAATCATATGGATTCTGTATTGTCTGCTGAAGAGGCATCACAGAGTTTTTTACAGTCTGGAGAGACATATTCATTTTCTGTGAGTCACTGATCTCACCTTTCAAGGCAGATGATGATACATAATCTTTTACCAAGGGCTGACAGGATAATCCTCAGCTAAATTTATAGCCAGAGAATGACATTACAATGACTTAGATGAAAATGTCTACTCTTTGTGAAGCCAAACAAATGAGATGAAGTGCAATTTCATATGTCTTACTCAGCAATAACTGCATCATGGTTTGCAAAAGAGGCAACCCAGTTGCTCTCTTTCACCTTCAACCAGTTATTTTACATCTTCAGCTGAGATCCCTGACAAGACAGTGACAGATGGATGATCACTTAAACCTTCAGCCAAGGAAAATGGAGCCAATTGCTTTGTCATAAATTGTCAGCAGCAGAGGATGCCAGGCTTTGTGTAGAGACTGTGAGACTAAGAGAATGTCAGCTGAAAATCCTCAGCCCTCGCTGCTAGCGGTTGCTCAAAGCTCCTCCGCACTCAAAAACCTCACTCGCGGTGCCAAATTTTTCCTCTCCTCGAGAAGGGAGCGTGCCAGCACAGGGCCACAGTCTTTGAAGTTGGGTTTGAGGCGAGGACGATTCTCTCTTTCGGGAGCAGGTGGCTGAGGCCATCAGACTGAGAAGAATCCAATTAAAAAGTGGGGGAAAAAAGAGCTTTCATTTTGGAATTGTCTCTGGTGAGGAAGGGGACAGATAAAAATGGTTATGTGATCTGTGGAGACCTTGCACATCACACACTTTGAAAGTTCGTCATGAGGATGATAGGGCTGATTCACACTTAACCAAGAGTCAGAGAAAATGTCCACAAAATTTAAAGGTTCTGTATTTTAACTTTTTACCAATATTAATATTTTTTATTGCCAATGGGTGAACAGGTTGTGATGTAACTTAAAAACTGAAACTTTCCCCAACCTGCCCGGTTGCCTCTAGCACCCTGTGGACTGAATTCTATGTCAAGAACTCGGGCTAAATTTTCAACACATTCTCACTCCGACCTCGTCACATATTGACATTTGGACATTGACTTTCGACGTTCACATACGCCGTGTCAAGTTCTGCCTGTTACATGCATTGTCTTCTTTCAAAATACACTTCGCTTTTCACAGGGAATCTCTTTCAAAAAAGAGACTTCATTCAAACTTTCACCACTGTAACACTTGTTCTTGTCCTGCCGTGTTTTCCCCTGATGCCGCCAGCTGTCATTAAACTATAACAGCAACCAGCGATCAGCACCGTCTGACGTCACTGCCCAAGCGCCAAATTTTGATGACTTCAGAGTGAGACCGGGTTGAAATATTTCCTGGAAAATCCAAAGGATGTAATGTTGCCCTTTTTACCTCGGCTACAGCACTAACAGCAATGTTGCAGAGTATACCCAGACGTGCAAGGTATATCCATCTCTTTTTTGGTCGTTTATGGTTACCCACCTATCAGCCAAAAAGAGATGGGTATACCCTGCATGTCTGGGTATGACACGGTGTCCCAGAACATCAACAACCAAGGCACCCAGGGTACCTTTCACATTGCATCTGGACATGGAAGGTCCATGGCCAAATGTCAATATGTGACGAAGTCGGAGTGAAAATGTGTTGGCTTGCTTTAAAGGGACTTTCCTGCTCCTTATATTTTGTTGTTACTGGCGGCATTTCAAAATGACGCAGTCTGGCAACGTTATGACCTTAGGCTGCTCCAGTGGTGTATAATATTGCCACAAAAGGTACCTTTGTGCTTTGGTGTCTGACGCCAAAATCACTGACCAAGCAGCGATATTTGACGAGTGGGAATGAGATGGGGCTGGATTGAAATCTATTTTCCAGCATCCTCAGTCTATCATGGTCAGTCTTGTGTTTGTCACTGTATTGGCCTATTCGTACGAGCCTAAGCAACAGGATGCTGACTGCAGTTAATTTAACGGCCTCAAAGAGAGGCATCACTTATCACAAGGATTTTCACAAAGTTCCACACAGAACCTTAAAAAACAGCACTTAAATGAGGTGAAAAAGTATGTAAGAAGAAATGAAAAGCAAGACGGTGTTTTATGTTATTGAACTTCAATTTTGCACCTTTGTTGAACCTCTTCAGTTCTGTCTGCCTCTCACTTATGAGCTCAAGCTTCTGAATTCAAAATATATCAAATCGTAAGTCAAGTGAGGTCATATTTACTCATAAAAAACAACTTTTTTGCAAAGTTACCAAGCAGCAACATTGTAAAAAAGAAATTAAACATGCAAAAGCAAAGGAAGTTTGTGTGTGGGGGGAAGATAAGAGGGACAGCTGCTGTTGTGGTAAGCTATTCATAGTCATTGTACCATTGGTGCGCATCTTGTGAGTAGGGAAAGTGTGAAGGCACGGGACCTTGATGCCGTTTAATTTGGCAGCACTGAAATGAAATGAGAAGTAAGAGAAAGATTGAGGTGTGCGAAAGCAGGCTGTTGCTTGACATTTAGTGTGAACTTTCTGTCACAGCAAGAGAAGGAAGGGGAGGTTCATTAAGAACATTTCAAAGTAACAACAAACTGTGGAAGTAATGCTGCTTAAATGTCATCATGCCCTTATTATCTTATTTTCTTTGTTGGATATTAGACAAGAGGATGTTTGTTGACTTTCTATCATCATGATGTTGAAACATTCTGCTTTCACTTTTTTTCTCCAAGGAGAGTCAGGAGCAAAAATGCCATCCCTTGAGCTGTTTAGGATTCAGGGACTTAGACTCAAGGACCATAAATATAGCACATATGACTTTAGGATGATGAGGGATGATCTTTTGAGCCTTTAGACCACACACCACTGGGAGATAACAGTTCTTATTTTGTGTCCACAGCGAGAAAAGCTGATCCACGAGCTAGAGGAAGAGCGACGCCTGCGACTGGAGAGTGAGAAGCGTCTCCGGGAAGTGACAGAGGAGTCAGAGCTGGGACGGGCGCAGATGGTTTCACTGCAGCAGCAATTCACCAGGTAAAAGAGCGTGTGTGTTTGACATTACTGAAGGCCTGCAGCAAGCCTTAAATCTTGTTTTCCACTTGTAGGAGACTTGTTGCTTAGTTGTTTTTAATATGATATTGAGGATCATCTTATCCAGTATATGCAGGTCACGGAATTTCACAATCGTATTGTCCAGGCCTGAAAAAGTTATGGTATTAGTAAAATAAATCATTGAAAGTTTTGGAACAGTAATGGAATTTTGTTGTATGTGATGACATTGTTACAGTAACTTTCCTTGGATAACCTTCCCTGTAATATAACATGATGGCAAATTTATATTCTGCAGCTGTAGCTGCTGTTTTTCACATAACACCAGCACACAACAGAGCACCATAAGCAAAACACAACACAACCCCTACGCATCAAGCAACATTATTTAAAATCTTAATTGAGGTTGGCACAGATAATTTTGGTAAAAAAAACTGGGCAAGTGGGGCAAGAAAAAAAAATGTGTATATATATATATATATATATATATATATATA